TTAGCTATTCCGTGTCGTCACCAAAACCTTAGTTCCTACCTTGGCCCCCTCTATCAATAAATTTCTCAACCCGGTCCATTTGGTACGATCTTCGTTCCACACATCATCCAAGACGAGCAGAAATTTCTTATCCTTTAAAGCGTCTCGTAGTTGTGCTTGCAACTGATCTAGAGACAACCTTTCACTGATCTGTGTACCTAATGCAGAGCCAAGGATCTCTTTTGCCAATCTATTAACATCAAAGTCCACTGACACATGCTGCCACATTCTTAAGTCAAAACTCCTTTCGACTCTCAGATCATTGTACACCGACTGGACAAGGGTGGTCTTCCCTAAACCTCCTAATCCCACTATAGGAATAACAGAAACATTCCGGCCATTATCCCCACCTTGATGATCATCGCCTTGTATCATTAGAAGATCAACAATTTTATTTTTTTCTGTTTCTCTACCAATAACCTCCGAAGCACGGACAAATGAGTGGGTCGTATTCATGTTCTCCCTCACATGATCACCTAGATGAGGGTGATGATGAACAGTGCGAAGACCAGCAAAATTATCATCTTTAAGCTCATGTAACCTCTCTCGTATGTCCTTAATTTCATGACCTACTCGCAACCGGAATGCAACTGGATTAGAGCGGGAAAAGAAACGGCGTACCTTTCTGGTTGTGCCACTGCCACGAACCACTTGCCTTCGCAAAGCTTCGCACTCAAACTCGTCCATCAGATCCTCCGCATCAAGGAACACATCTTTAAGTTGTCGTAGCCAACTGCGTAGGTCACGGTTACGTGCTTGCTTCTCTTCGGCATCCAAGAGCACGTCTCTGATGGTGGACATGGTGCGTTCAAGTTTCCGCAGATCCGCTTGAACGCCCCACGCCAAGCAAATCTCCTCAGAAGCAATGGAGCTGAGCCTTTCAATGAGTTTGGCTGCCAACGGAAATGCAAGCTCGGCCATCTTCTTTCTTTCTTTCTTTCTTTCGTTCGTTCGTTCTTTCTTTCTTGATGAGGTGAGTGCAGGGGAATTGAGATAGTATGAATAATGATGATGATGCTTCCTTATTGTTCGTCACAGGAATTTCCGTCGGGGATGACTTCCTGGCAAACGAGCACACAGCTCCCCTGGGAGGTCGGCGCCGGTTGAAGGCTGCTGTCGGGCTTCTGCTTTCTTATCGGGCTTAGTCGGGCAGGTCTTGTTCGGGCAAGACTCGTCGGGCAATGCTGAAAGAGAATGACATAGTTAATTTGAAATGTGCCTTTGTGGGGCCTTAGGTATAGGCCTTGAGGCTCACAATTAAGATTAGCTTTTGAGGTGCTCAAGCGTGCCACTACCATCTTCAGTATGGCAGATGTCGAATAGATGTCAAGTTTTAGTTGTGAATATGCATATGCCCGAGAAACCGTGTTAGATATAACAGGTGCCTTTGTGGGGCCTTAGGTGTAGGCCTTGAGGCTTCCTGTCAAACTAAACCAGTACTTGAACATATCATATTTGGTCTTTTATGGTTGCAAGAGTCTTGTCACTATTATATTTCTGATTACCCGAGCCCGAGAAGTAGAAAGAACCCAAATGGGTGCCTTTGTGGGGTCTTAGGTGTAGGCCTTGAGGCTTCCCATTAGAGTTTGTTCTTGTACTCGAACCAGTTAGACCGCAAAGTAGAATGAATCTAAATAGGTGCCTTTGTGGGGCCTTAGGTGTAGGCCTTGAGGCTTCCCATCAGAATTCATTCTAAACTTAAGCGTTCTATGATAATCATGACATAATAGAAACAAAACTAAAAGGTGGGTCGATTACTTGCGCCCCAAGTAACTTCGAACTTCTCGTTTATCAATGATTGTCGTGGATGGGTTAAGTTCACATAAAGTTCTTTTTTATGCCTTGAGGTCAAGGACTTTTAAACTGATCAGATTTACATGCCCGCGGGCTTGGGACTTGGATCTGATTTGAACACTAATGATATATTCAAATCGGGTTCAAGTACTGAGCAAGCCTTTTCATCATGATTTTGCTAGAAACAACTTGTATATAACTGGAAATATACAGCATGTTACTAGGCTTTTAAAGAAAGAAAAGACAAAGACAGAGCAAAGAGGGTCGGGCAAGATTAAACCTTATCAGTTAAGGCTGATCTTCTTGCAGGTCCCTATCTTTGTAGCTTTGTCAAAGGTCTGAAAGCTTAGAGGGAGAGAGAGGGAGAGGATACAAAAGTGAATCGATACTACAACAAGTTTAAACAAGGTAGCAGAGCTATTACAGAGGTTGGAAGAAAAGATTATCCTGCGGGGGATAAAGGTTTTATCCCGACTGGGATGAAGGCTTGGGCTGACTACAGCTTCGTTTGAAGGCAAATCTGGCTTTGAGCAGAGTTTTGGCTTGCATTTGTTTGTTTGATTGAGTGTCCTTATTCCTGTCTTCTCTTCCTCCTTTTATAGACGACTTACCTTGGGTTCCCGTAGCAACAGCCTTGCCCGAATACGGTTTGGAGGTGATGACTCATCAGCTTTTTTACATGAATGCCACCAAAAAGTACTTTATTAGGCTGTGCAGTCTGATCAGCCTACACCACTTGGTCCTTGGGTAGGTAAGCAAGTGGCCCTTTTCCTGCTCCATAAGTTTCGTCCGGGCCTTCGGTTGGGCCGACTCCATCTTTGGGCCCAAAGTCCGGTTTTAACCCAAACAGTGCCCCCTTCAATTGATATTAAACCTGGAATTCCAGGCGCCAATATTAATTGAAAGAGACTCCTTATTAAACCCACGAATCCTTCGCGATTGAACTTCTTAATTTCCGGTGTTCTGTAGAAAGAAAATTTTCTGTGATTAAAAACTTTCCTACTTCTTCCCACCATTTCTTTCCGTTGCCTGACAAGGTTGCATCTTTATCATCTTCCTTGTTTTTCTTTCTCTCGACCTTCATCAAATGGCTTCAGGATTCAGCCAAACCCCACCATCTTATGAGTCCGGCGACGGAATCGCCACTCTACGCCGTTTACTCAACGGGCTGCATCGTCCGCGGGCAGGCCTACACTCTGAGTTATTCTTTGAGACGCATGGGGTACAATCATTGGGTCCCGCCTGGATTTCTCGGGTCCCCTCAGTAGTGGAAAGCAACATGCCTAGGGGAAATTGGTTTTCCCCAAATCCCTATTTGGCCGGGTTGGGCATCTCCTCCTCAAAATGGTCATTACATCGTCGAGGCTTTCCCTTGATGAATGATCCCGCCTGGACCCAATGGGTTGACGAATTGGAGCCTTCCTTCAAGCAGAAATGGATGAGTAACGATATTTATGAACTCATCATGCTTTCAAAGACTTCCATTGTCTCTAAGCCCGAGTTGCTTACTTCTGCCCTCCTCTTTTGGAATACGGGCACAAATACTTTTGATTTTCGTATGGGTCCCATGTCTCCCACCATTCTCGATATGGCCCAGGTCTTTGGGTTGAGGCCATCGGGCAGGACAGTAGATGTTACTCAAGATTGGGTTCCGTCTTCTACCACCGGGAGCTCGAGTTCTTCTATCCCCTTACTTCCTCTGAACTATAACTCAGCCACTTTCAAGAGTTATGGGACCTCTTTTAAAGGATTCATCCCTTTTGTAAAGGAGAATTTTGGGGCAGGCTCCCCTCGGGCTGACAAAGATCAAGAGCATATGTACTTTCTTCTTTACTGGCTCAACAAGCACGTCTTCCCCAACAAATCCAAGGGAGTGAGGGTAGAATGGATCCCCTTGGTGGAGGTTCTTCATAATTTTGATGATGTAGCCACAGGTCCATTCCTTCTTTCCCATCTTTATCACCTTCTTTTTGAAATGACTTGAGATGAGCCCTTTGAGACCAACTTGAATGGACCAATCTGGATGTTACAAATCTGGCTGCAATGGTATTTTCCAGAATTTCGGGCTGCCAATCTAGAGTTCCCAGAGGGTGTGGCTCCTGCCCGAATCCTGGCTGAAGCTCCCCCTGTAGACCATTCTACTTTTGCCTGTTTTTACTTTTTCAGAGTCTGCAGGACTCGATCAGACTTGGAATGGGGTGCGTCAGTCTTGAGGAGATACCCTTGGTTCTCTGACCAAGTCTTCCAAGATGCCCCTGGTGAAGATGCTACCCCCTTTTGCAGGGAAAAGTTTATCAGCTGTATCTAACCAAGAGACTTGGCCTGGGGGGTTCGGGGTAATAGGTATGATCGAGGATTGGAGGTGTACCATCCTAACTTCTGCAGCAGGCAGTTAGGATTTAGGCAAGCCATACCTGTCCCATTCTTCGACTCCGTTCATTGTGGCACTTCATTCTGGTTACAAACTCTTTCTGAAGTGACATTCCGAGCCGCCCGCCGCAGTCTGGATGTAATGAGTCAAGCAGCCCGACATTCTGTTGTTCTTAATTTTGAGTGTACCTCGCTGTTTTCTTCTTGGTGGGAGGATAAATGGACTAGAAAGTATGGAGGAGATTTGAAGGTGAATCACGATCGCATCTTCAACCAGCTTTCTCTTAAATCATATCCTGGCTCGGGCGAGCTTGCAAATTGGAAGGAGATGATTTAAGAGAAAAACCGGTTACTTCTAATAGGTGCCTCTCTTTCCATCTGATTTTGTTTTTCCTCTGATGTCCATTTTCCTTTACTTTTGCTTGATTCTACAGCTCCAGTGGATACTGAATTTGAAGCCATTGAATTAGAGAATGATTTTGCTGATGCTGCAGTTCTTCATGGTGCTGCCGCAGGGGCTGAGAGACGAGAAACCGGGGAAGGGACGGACGTCTCAGAATCCATTGGGGATTCAAGAGCTGAAGAAACGCCCAAAGCAATCACCAAAGCATCCAAACGAAAGAAGGTGGCCATGACTAAAACTTCAATCCCTGACCCTGCACCTCTTCCAGCAACCACACGACCAGTTCTCACCCGAAAGAGTAAGCGGGTAAGGATCACTATGCCCCCTAAACCAGCAGTCCCATCTGCTCCAGTTCCTGAGGCAGGCAGAAAGAAGCAACAATCATCAAGTAAGTTTCTATTTTTCTAGATCAAACTGCTACCTTTCTCCTTTATCTAATTGTCCCTTTTATTGATCAACAGGACCTCAAGCATCTAAAAGGCCAATCCTTGCTTCTAAGGAGGAACCATTAAGGGCTGCTATGCTTAAAAAGGCTGAAGATTTGCGAAACACCGCCCTTCGAGAACTTGAGGTATGGCCTATATTCTTACTTTCTTACTTTCATACAACCCTGAATTTGATTACTCTGACTCAGGCTGCAAGGAAAGAAAGGCTCTCCTCGCCCGAGGCCTCTCCACAACCTGCCCGAGAGAAAAATCTTTCCCCCTCCCAGATCAATCCTGCTGAGGTACTTCCCTCCCTCTACTTCTTGGATATCTCTCCAATTTATGGATCTAATGGCTAAGGTCTTTTCTCTCATTCTATTTTGTTTTCCTAGGCTGGTGCATCTGCCTCTTTGCTTAGTCAGGGACCTCCTCTTAGATCCATGGCTTCTTCTACTGCTCTGGATGCGACCCATTCCTCTCAATTTGATCCGTCCACATGAGTTATGCTACACTTCGTGGATGAGGATGATCCCTTGGTGAGTTATTATTTCTTCATTGAAATTTTGCACATTGCTACCCAATTAACTCCTATTCATGTTTCTCACAGCCGTCTCCAGTGTATGAGCCACCTCCTTCACTAGTGGTCTCGGATAAGGAACCCATAGTTCCTGAAATCCCTGTAGCTTTAGATGCAACTATTTCGCAGGCGTTTGTTTGCTCGACAGTTGATGAACCTCCTTCTCCTCCCCAAGATCAGACTCAGGTACTGGAATATTTTTCTTCTTGCTTCTTCCTCTAGTGACATTTTTGCTGACAATTACTACTTTCTTTGGATATATCCAGGATGCAGGCACAGGTTCAGGCGCAACTCTTTCCTCTTTTGCTGGCGGTGAAGAATCTTCACCCCAACAAAGAGTTAGTGCATTCTC